AATTGATTTTGAATAGTGATATGATGGGAAATGTGTGGTTGAAAAAGAAGAAAAAATTATTGATGTGATGGAAAATATTATTTTATTGAAGAATGTGTGGTTGAAAATGAGAATTGATTTACTGTAGAAAATGAGAATTCCTACCAAACAGGCCCTAAAAAATAATGTAAAATTATTGATTTGATAAAAAAGTATTATTTTATTAAAAAACATATAGTTAAAAATAAATTTTGAAAGAATGGCTCAAACACTTCGTAAATCTCTCTCTGTTTCTATAGTTTTTCCATTTATTTCTTGGAGGAAGTAAAAATTGCAGTCTGTTTTGGCATAATTTACATCAAGTTTAGATACACATATTTGCGTATTTTTTGTGTTGGACGTATATTGTCAAGTAGAATGGTAGAGATTTAACCTTCTGTATTCCAAGTCATGTAAAAGGCTCTCAGATTCCAGCTAAAAGCTGTGTTTCTAGGGTTTTTCTGCCGCTGNAAAGCTGTGTTTCTAGGGTTTTTCTGCCGCTGCAAGAAGGGGGTCCATGTTACGAATACATTAATGGAGGATCAGGGTAGGTAAAGACTCAATCTTTAAAGTTTCCCATGTCATCATCTGCTCATATTATTGACAATCAGTCACTTCGGGTTTCTCTACCTGAAAGAAATAAAAATTGTTACTTTATTATGCCCATACAACCTTATGATGTCACACTATGTTTTGTTTCTAAATCTTAAGATTGTCTACTTAATGAAAGAAATGGAAGAACAGAGGTTGTTTTCTGGGCATACCCATATGAAAATGTCTTGGATTCAGCATAAAATGAATCAGAAAGATGGTGTAATGACATACCCACCTCCTATTTCTCCTTATGGTGTTAATAGTAATTTCCATAAAGAATCAAGCCCATCTTCATCTGGTACAAGGATTAGTCCAGCTGTTTTGTTCATTATAGTTATTTTAGCTGTTTTGTTCTTCATATCTGGGGTTCTACACTTGCTTGTTAGATTTCTTACCAAAAGCCAGTCATCCTCTCAATCTAATAGAAATTTGGAAGTTTCTACCGCTGATGCACTTGAAAGACAACTGCAACAACTCTTCCATTTACATGATTCTGGTTTAGATCAAGAGTTTATTGATGCATTACCGGTGTTTATGTATAAGGAGATAGTGGGTGGTGCAAAAGAGCCATTTGATTGTGCTGTCTGTTTGTGTGAATTTTCTGAGAAGGACCAACTGAGATTGCTTCCAGTGTGCAGCCATGCTTTTCATATCAGTTGCATCGATACTTGGCTTCTGTCAAACTCAACGTGTCCTCTCTGTAGGGATACACTTTTCAATCCCGAGTTCTCAACAGAAAACCCAATATTCGATTACCGGGATTTTAGGGAAGAAGATGGATTTCCGGGTAATCGGGAGAATGGATTTTCATCTGGTCTAAAGACGGTGCAAATTCAGGAAGTAGCCGCAGAAAAGGGCGTTTTTCCTGTGAGGCTTGGTAAATTCAGAAAATTGAATAATGAGCACGTGCAGGAGGAGATAGGAGAGACTAGTAGTAGTAAATTGGATGCTCGAAGGTGTTATTCAATGGGTTCTTATCAATATGTGGTTGGTGATGCTAATCTAAGGGTGGCTGCCTCGAGCCATGATCGAACTGGTCGCAGTTTGAAGCTTGTTGTGGGGACAGATCGAGCTAGTAATCTCTCGCCTGATGGAAGGGAAGAAAATGGGAAGAAAATTAGTATTGGGACGAAAACTGATAGCTATTCAGTTTCCAAGATATGGCTATGGTCAAAGAAGGGCAAATTTGCTAGTTCTTCGGATGCACAAATTGACAATCCCTCTTCTCTGAATATGGACTTACCATGGATGCATAGAACAGAAGGCCTCTGAGAGGTATTTTCCTTTTTTTCTTTAAATTTTTTGATTAATTGCTAATTGGTAAATTACAGGGTTGGCTTTCTTCTGTTCTGAAACTTTATGTACACTGGTAGTAATGGAAGTCTGAATTTTCCGGTGTTGCAACTTAATGTATTGGTGTCTCTTTCGATAAGATTCATCTTGGAGTACAGTTTTTTGATGTTTGATCTTAGAATAACTTGATCACATTTTGACATGACTAAAACTTGGACTTAGAACTTGTTTTGACAAATGATATTGCACCGATCAAGAAATTTGGGGATAGGAACAGGGGTATTATGTTTCTGTTGAACCAGTCGAAGGGTCTCGATTTTGTGATATGTTGGTCGAAACTTGTCATTGAAATTGTCTTTTCATCAAAGCAGAGGGCAATTATCTTTTCTTTTGCCTTGTTTTGGTTGCCTATTCTGTATTCTTATCTTGTCTTTCTCATTGTTGCTTTTGTTAACGTTTTGGAGTAGTGTGAAAACACTCTTTTTTGTGCATCGAGTTCTTTCTTTTAGGTTGGGACCAAGTGGTGGGATCCACGAAACTTTATGATTAAAATTTTTGGTATAGCTTTGGCTATGTGCCCCATTTTTCGTAAAGAAAGAAACCAATAATATTGCTAGTATGCTTGTAGAAGAGCTTCGATGAACCTAGTCGATGAACCATCCAGGACGATCTTGATAGTTATGAGCCTATCCCGAGACCCAAGTTTAGTTGGATAAAAATGTAGCCCCCGTTTGTTTTTCATTTTTCATCCATAAAAATGGAAAATATAATCGTTATTCATCACGTCAAACCATTAATTTTAAATTTTTATCTCCTGTGTGTGGTCTAATAACGGCTATATTTTTCATTCTGATTTTACAATAATGAGAATCAAACGGGCCGTGTACTAGGTTTTTTTGTTTTTTTTAACTTATTTTTTTGCTTCAAGCTTACCAACATGATATAATCAAAAAGATTGAGATCAATCATTTGTAAGATAGCTGGCCTTGGCCTATCTCATTTAAACAAATATGGCACACGCTCATCTGGTGGGCCCTGAAGAACCTGGTTCTGCAATCATATCACAGCCCTACTGTGCATCGCCTCTTTCATGCCACAGTTGTCACTTAGAGTTCATTTTGTGGTGGCGCGTAGCCGGATAATTTTGTCGTATATGGACGGCTAAGTTCAGGGTTGGTTGGATATGGGTCGGATCTAGAATTTTAACCCATTTACTGCATTTTTACTTTATTTTATATAAACTCTTGTTTTCCATCGGTTGATTGTTTTCAGAATTTTCACCGAATACACTTAAAACATCAAAAATGTGTTTTGAATTTTATTTTATAAATTTATTTTTGTTTTCAAAAATACATTTTGCAAAATTGAAAATAGCTTGAAAACAACAAATCAAACCCACCCTTAATTTCTCATTCCTTGTAACAAGAATCTAGACCACATGGATCGATGGGGATAAAAAGGGTAGCTTGTGTAATTTCCTCTAAGATGGAGTGCCATTTATTCTCACGTTAATTAAGAATAGAACAGTCCACAACCATCGACGTTGAATGTCGTTAGCCCAGTTCGCTTTTTGGTGCAATACAATCAGTCATTTTATTTCACCCTTGTCAAAATTGACATCCATGACTGTCCATATTCTCATTTAGATGACTTCACAGAACCAATCTTCTATAGAAAGTAGTCTTTGTTAGGTCGTCGTGTCCGCAACTAGGGCTATCTTATAAGGATGTTTGTTCTTATACGGACTGTAAGTATATTGGATAGAACTCACCCTTAAATCGACTTTGTATTGAGAGAATGTTCAATTAGATATAAACTCACGAACTAAAATTAGCCTAGCAATGAAAGATACAATTCATATTATTGCATGTGTGATGTGGGATTTTTCGGGCTCTTTTATCTCGATTGAGATTTCATTCTACACAATCACCCTCCAGCAATGATTTGAAACTTGACGAATTTGCCCGATGGTTTTAGCAATATCTGCCATAGAACTTTATACCTTTATGGAGACGTGATTGTATAAACTAAGATTGACACGAGTAGGGACGGATCCACGAATTCGAGTGAGCTGGAGCAGATCCATGCGAACAACCACTCAATATATATTCATTTTTTTTCAACGAACTTGGCACGGGCAGTCGCCTTGGCTCGGGGTGCTCCGCCCCTATTAACAAGGACATGAAAATGGACCAGAAACAAAAGAGTACGTAACATTCTGAGTGGGGGTTAACAAGGACATGACAATGGACTAAAAACAAAGGAGTACATAACGTTCTAAACGATGGAATTTTCTTGAGTGAAAAAGTACAAATCACCATCTGATATGTCCCCATTTACACATCCCTATAAAACATTTCATCTATCCTTATTTACTGAGAGTTTATGAGCATATATGTAGACATCATCTATCTATACGGACAAGACAATTATACATGGTACACCATTCCCACTTCTAACGTTGATGCACGAGGGAAACATAGTGCATATGCTGATGCTGGTCCTCTTGAGTTCCTTCTTAAGAAATCATAACATGTATTAATCACTAATCTCTTAATCAAACTTGAACCCATCTTTGCCTTCACGTAACAGTGGCCGAGAATAAACGCCATTCCCGCCTCCCTCGCTTCCATCAATTCCTGCAACTCCATCCGTGCAGTCGCATGGATTTGCGGACTCTCGGGAACAAGAAATCTCACTCTCTTCCTTGGCACCTCCGGTGAACTAATTTCCGTTGACTTCATAGAGCTTGTTGCTTCTTCGGATAAATCTTCGCACATCCTTATTCCTTTTGAGTATGTTGATGTTGTACCAATTACTGTCATTCTTTCTTCGTTCTCAATATCTTCTAGCCTACCATCACATTCAGAGCCCTCTGACCGAATAAATTCTGCTATGCTACAAACAAGATCATTTTCGAACATCACATCATCCATCTGAATATCACGGTATCCATAACGTGCTATGCATCGATAAACTCGGTAGTCTTTTGGGCCGATTCTTCCCACGAGGAATCTCTCTTCAGGTCTCACGTGAGGCACAGGAACATATTTGACACAGAGGAAAACTAGAACCTGGTGGAACGCCGGTAGATTGGTGAGGAAATGAGAGAAAATAGCAGGAACCCCAGACACAAGTTCTGTATGTATGAGACCAATGCCTCGAACCCGCACAATCCCAAGATTCGGACCCAAACTCAGGAGCCAGTTTATGGGAACTTTGTTCTGAACATCAAACTCATACTTTTTCAATGTTCCATAATGCCAGACGTACATTATAATTAGAAAGATAAATGAGAGAGCAACTGGGACCCAAGCGCCATCGAGGAACTTGATAAGAGAGGCAGAGAAGTATAGTGCTTCAATGGAACCGAAGAATAATATAAAGCAAACAGCTAGAAAGACGCTTCTATGCCAACATAGCACAATGACTAGAGACATTAGGCATGTCGTAACCAGCATAACAGTTATGACAGCGAGACCTGCTCCAAAAGAAAAAAAAAATCATAACAATGCAGTTCAAGAATCGTGGTAAGTAACAAAAACATACTATAAAAGTCATTTCAGTTCAATATTATTTAGTTGCTTCTTCTCAAAATATAAATTTAGTCAATTAAACATTCTATAAAAATTCATTTGTAGATGTTACCTGATGCATTGCTAATATGTTTTGTGTCTCTAAAACCTACGGTAACGGCCAGGCAGAGCAACATTAAGGTCCAGTTGATTTCGGGAATGTAAATCTGGCCACAAATTTTAGAAGATGTGTGTATTATTCTAACTCTCGGGAAGCAACCCAATGCAGAGCATTGCTTGATAATGGAGAACGTTCCAGTGATAATGGCTTGGCTCCCAACCACCGCGGCAAGTATTGCAATTGCAAGAACCGGCCATCGTATTTTTTCTGGCACAATAAACAATCATTAGAAAGGGACATATTTTCTTTTTCTAATTATGGAATAATGCCAATCAAATGAAGAAACTACATACCTGGTACTGATTCGTAGAAACCGATATGATAACCACTTTCAATTATGTGATGTTTGGAAAGATAAGCAGCTTGTCCCATGTAAGCAAGAATTAAGGATGGATAAACCACAAAGGTAAATGCTATCTGCAGTCGAACAGTTTTCAATTACAGGAGTTAGTAAATGCTCTCAGTTTATGCATAATCATTGACTTTGTAGACAAAAATCAACCAATACATTGATAATGAATTTAATGTGAACATGATAGAAATTCGTCAAAAATATAACTATAACTTGGCAAGTTACTAAACATTACCTTGATAGACATCTGTGAAAAGTGTCCAAGATCAGCAAACATGGCCTCGGAACCTGAAACGCGCATAGCATACCTGTCGAGTTAATTGAATATAAAATATAATGGCCCATCCTGATGCCAAAAGAAAGCCTACTTACCTGTTATACACAACAAAATCCCACCCAAGGACTTCCAACCTCCTGTCTGTGTCTTCTTCAAGAATTTGTACATATAATACGGAGAGAGAGCTTGGTAAACATGGGGATTCCAGTGGAAAATATTGTACACTCCAATGGCACTGATGCAAAAAAGCCATGCTATAACAACTGGTGCAAAAAGAAATCCTATTCGGTGAGTCCCGTAGTGTTGCAGATAGAATAAGAACACCAGTATGATACAAGCAACGGGGACTTCTATATCTGCAAGAAAAAGTTAAGATGCTCGATCATTATTCATCTCATGATAGAGAAATCATTTAGGGATAGAAACGGAGGGATTGTCAAATGGTAAGAAAGCATTGTCCAAATTACACCATAAAGCAGATAAGGATTTGGCATGCAGGTAAAAATTAATCTACTAAGGGTTATGTCAGAGAATATGAAAGCTGAGCTTGAATGCAATCCCATATTGAGTATAACCTTCTTAAAGGGACGCCCTCTAACCAACTTTAGATGTGACCGGGTTGATCTTCAAGAAATTAAGGAGATGATTAGACCAAAGCAATTACTGAACTTTTGTCAATTTTTTTGTCCAAAACTATAATCAAACCTTGGGTTTGAGGTATTCTGGATTACCGATTTGTAATCGCTTTCAACAATTGTAACTAATTCATCAGTAAGTTCATATCCATAGGTCACTGCTGTCACTCGGAATTCATAAGATACATTTTCCAGTCACACTATAGTATCTGTTTATTGTTGTTGTAGGTAGATCAGTCCAACTTTACTTCTTTTTTGCATAGTTTGATGATTCACCTTATACAACCTCAAATCTTTTAATATATACACTTGAACTTCTTTCTTTTAGCATCGAGTTGCGTCTCCACTTAAGATGATATGGGTTACCATAATATAGAAAGATTATGTAACTTTATATCTAAAGTTGATAGTGATTTGACTTTGATTAAGCCAGAAAATTTGTCCTAATAACAAAAGGCCCACAAAATAATGCATTTTTATTGTAATTTGGTGCACTCTCTTTGTCCACACACTGCACGTCTATAGTAAATATTTTTCTAGCTATCAAATGAAATAAAATAACAATATCTTTTCAGTCCTTTCCTTTTGGTCGAATCATAATCTTATCAATACTTTTTTCTTCCGGGGTGATCTTTGGTCACATCTCAATCACCGATAATTCCTAATGCCAAGCTTAAGACAACCACTTGAGACGAAATTGGAGCTTACATTGAAAGGGCTCTTCAAGTTCAAGAATATGCTAAGCATGTAGGAAAGTAGGTTCCTTAACTGAACAATGCTATATTGACAGCCTACTCAAACAAGGGATTCAGCATGTATCTGAATTTCTTGACCCGTCAATATTTCAAACTCTAAGTGAAAGTTTCATAGCATTGACACTACAATTCACAAGTTTTTTACATCTTTTTCATTTTTAATACTACACAGTGTTATCCCGCCCAACTTAACATGCCGTAAAATGTGAATTTTCGAGTAAATTTGAAGAAGATGAGAAACTTACATTGGTGATGGTGCTTTGACACTACAAGCTCTAACCCAGAAACTGCAGAAAATACTGCATAATCACCAAAATAATCACTTATCAGTTGGAATTTCCAATATCAAAATCTCGTAATTAAGACAAAAATAAGAAAATTTTCATTCTATACCAGAAATTGCAGGTGTAAGAACTCCATCCCCAATTACCATACAAGTACCAATTAAGGCCAAAGCCAGCAACATTTTTTGCAACAATCTATGCTTCTCCAATGTTGATCTTAAGCTCAATCCCAATCCAAGACCTCGATTAGCCGATGAAATTCCATCTCTTTTATACTCATACAAGTCCTCATCTGCTAGCTGCCCATTGGGCAAAGTACTCAACCGGGCATGGCGGCAGAGCAGAGAATACAAAGCAAAAGTCCCTCCTTCACCATTATCATCGGCTCTAAGCACTATAAACACATACTTGAGCAATGGAATAAGAGTTAATGTCCAAAATACAAACGATAAAACCCCAAAAATCTCCTCATTAGACTCTGAATGTTGAATGTCCTCTGCAAAAGTACTCCTAAAAACAAACAAAGGTGAAGTGCTTAAATCACCATACACCACACCCAAACTCTGGTAAGCCAATGTCAATACTGTCCTCCATGATTCTTTCTGCACCAAAAACAAAACTCAGACAAAAGAGAAGAAAATCTGTGATATTTGGTACAATACTTACTGCAAAAATTCTCACCTTGATAGGATTATCAGGGCTCCAACATTCAATATCCATCACAGGCCGCCTCAGAAACATTAGAACTGCATAAACCTCAAGAAAACTAGCGAGGGCCCTTTAGGACAAACACTTAAAAGGGACCCTATTTTCAAGAAAACTCCAAGAATATCCAATTAAGAGAAATCAAAACTTTCTTCTTTGTAAATTACAGGTACACAGATGGTTTGAGCTATCACCACAATGGGAGCACCTAAGAAGCAACACGAAAATCTACAAGGAGAATACCAAGACAAATGATACGGGGTTGGGAGATAGCTGGTGGGAAAAATGTGCGATAGAATATTGTCTGTATAGTTCGTGAACACTTTTGAACATGTAATAATAATAATATTATAATTAACATGATCTCACTAATCAATCAACATACATATTGCTATCAATAATATTACTGTTTATTGATTCTTTAATAATCCTAAGGAATTTTAAGGACCGGCCAGTTTTGAATGGTTAAAGGCTTGAGATAAAAGGTAATTATACACTTCTTTTTCACACTTCAAAGATATATAATATGTTTTATTACATTAAATTTTTCAACTGGTTTTGACGTGATATCTTCTATGTGATCGAAATATATAAGATAAATCGGCTACACCATTCCTTTACACGTGCGCTTAAGCCAGCACCACCTAGGGGTGCGATCCACGCGCTATTGCAGCAAGGCAACTCTTTGTTGAGAAAAATATATTCTATTTAGAGTGTGCACTATTTTTTCGTGGACCTAATATCTGTCTATCAGCGAGTTGACCTAACATGCATCCACATCTCTGCCTCCTTTGTCACTTGAAAATTTTATTTGTACAATCAAAATTGACAATCTATCACATGTGTGCGGAGTCTTACGTTTAAAAGATTCAAAAAAAAAAAAAAATTAGACTCTCTCATGTGAGTGGTTGTCAAATTCGATTGTACATGTTGCATGACTCTTATTAATATTATTTTGATGTCATATTTTAGCATTGTTTGATCTCCATTATTTCAAAAATACATTCTTTTTCTTTTCTTTTTAACTACACATTTTTTTTATCAATTTACTATTTCAAAATGCATTCTTCAATAAAAATGGGGCTCAAACGAGCTCTTTGTATCGATTATTATTATAGACTTAGCCCATGTTTAAGTCACATTCTCATTTTCATTTTCATTCTTTTATTCATTTTTAACTACACATTTTTCAATAAAATAATATTTTCCATTACATCAATAATTTTTTTTTCTTTTTTAACAATATATTTACCATCGCATCACAAAAAAAATGCATTCTTTCCTAAAAAAATATGCATCAAACACACTCTCAATTCTTGTAACGTCTAAAGATCGAGAGAAAGATTGCCGTAGCATGATGATTGTGAAAAGTAGTTTATAGAATAGTGGAGTTTTCGATTCTCGTCTTATACTTTCCATTGTTTCTTCTTTAACAGAGTAATCTAGCGAGTGGGAAGAGTGCGTTTTTTTGTGTTATCTTCACACTTTGAGGTATACAAATTTGAAAAAATAAAAAATAAAGAAAACGTGGGTGGCGGTTCGCGGGGGGGTGCGGGACTAGTTTTTGTTCTTGGTCCAATACAGTTGGATTGCATTCACATATAGACTGGCACTGACAGTAATGCGTCATGATAAATGGAATGATGAACTATGTAACACTAACACGCAATGGGTTAACTCGGTAGGAGACTGTCACATTAATGGCATTTGCATTTTTATTTGTCTAATGGGACCTCTCTGTCAATTCAATTTGTTTAGTGCTTGGGAAAGATTAAGAAGTTACTAAAAAGTTAGTCATTGTTTGGCCTCGTTATAATGAGAATTTAGGGAAAATATATTTTGAAACAGTAAGGCCTTGTTCTCTTTGTTGTTTGCATTCTATTTTCTGTTTTCAATTTTCCAAAACAGTGAAAACGCGTTCTCTTTTCTATTTTAAAAAACAAATTTTTGAAAAAAAATAATTTTGGCTTGAAAACTCAAAATGTCAAAAAAGACGTTTCGAGTGTTTTCAAGTCAAAACACGGGAAAATCTGAAAACACGGAAAACGGCTCTCTCTTTCTCCATAATTGTGCATTGGAGAGCTAGAAGAAGCGCCGCTTTCTTCCTCGACAATCGACCACCACCCGCCACTAAGACAACCAGACTCCACTACCATTCAAACCCTCTCACCTCCATCTTCAACCTTTTGTCATCACATGGTCACGGAGTTGCCGAAAACAGCCCCAATCACAACCCAAAACTGCGTTACCGATCACGATTTTGGCCATATTTTCACCTCCGCCGACCACCTTTTTGATCGCGGACCATCTTTTTGATCGCGGACCACCACCACTCCACTCCTCTCAATCAAGCACATCCAATACCACCATGGGTCACATGCAATTTTGTCCAGAATCGACCGAGCTTGCAAAAATTGATGATTTATTTGGATTATCCCTCTTCTCAATTTTGTCCAAAATCAAGGGAACCCTTCTATTATCTTTCTTATCCATTTTCTCTCAGTCCCTTCTCTTAGGTATATGTCTATTCAGGGAATTTATTTACTCGTTTGTAGATTAATAATTGATCGATTGAAGTTTTGAATGATTTATATTTATTTGATTCGCTAGGTATGACGAAAATGGTAGTAGAAGGTATAATAGATTTAGATCTATGTTTCCCTTGACATGAACTTGGATGTGCCACAAGATACTCCCTACCCTGATATTTTAATCAAGTTTTATTAACGGGGTGGTTAGTTGTGTAATGAATCTAATGCTTGCTAACCATAACTGTAAAGAAAACTTTTGCAAGATCATAAGCACTGGCGAAATTTCTGCTTATTTTTCTCATTTTTATGCTGCTTTTTGGTCGGTGGGAGAATAGATTGATTAATTAATAATGTGGAGTTGTGATTTAGAATATTGACGGGTCATTTGAGTAATCGTAAACTATTTTTGTTTGCCAATGTGAACATTGTCATGATGTTTTGAACTTAATAGTGCTTGGAGATTGAAATTTCTCTTTTTATAGTTTATGTTTACATCTTATTTACATGTCAAGTTGGTATAACTTTTAATTTATGCACGATTTTTTTAAGGATACTCGTCTTTTATTGTTGAAATAATTAGCTCATTTCATTCCATTTAAGCAAAATGGCTTTTGAGTGCTAGAATATAAAGTTCATGATAGTAATTATTCTCAATCGACGTGCGTTGGCCTGAGAATGTGTATGCACATAGAAGCATTAAACTATTAAAATTTACTGAATAATCAGATTTCTTGAATCAGATATTATAAAAAAAATATTTTCAAAATTTCAAAGTAAACGCGTTTTCCAGTTTTATGTTTTGAGAAACAATTTTTCAGAATGAAGAAAAGAACGTGTATTTAGCAATCTCAAAATAGACACTCAAAACTAAAAATTGAAATACGAAGAGAACAACCCCTAATTTTCCAAAAAAATGTGTGGTTGAAAAAAAAAAGTTTTCGTTTTGTTTTATTTAAATATAATGATATATTAGTCATTTCACAACTTTTTATTAAGAAAATGGATTTTAGGGAGTATTATGCACTAAAAAACTTCAAACGGGGACCTTTCGTTATTTCCAATAGGGGAGGGATTTTGCACAGCATGTCAATATGTAACGGAATTTCGCTCCAATTTGATTTTTGATTAAAGTTTTAGTACATTTTTTATAAAATTTGATAAGATTTATAGATCCTATGAAATGAGTAATAACGTTCTTGTAAACATTTGTGAAAGTATTCAGCACGAGAACATTCAGATGGATTTCTTCAGAAATTCCATTAGTTTGGTGGGAATTGAATTTGCCCACTTTTTAGAGGGCGAAATCATCTATCATTTTCTTAAAAACAATTAAAATGCTTTTAAAACATTAACAATTTTTGGTATTTTGCTTTATTTTTTGGTTGTGTTTAAGGATCAATTTAGTAGATTTTTGGAGGGAAACATCCGTAGGGACAAAAAATTAGTTGAGAATACGATCGGTCACATATTGGAATGTAATACTTTCTTATATTTTTTATGCCACTTGTTGAAGGCTCGGAATAAATTTCAAAAAGCACATTTGTTGAATGACAAAATTATAAGGTTTGAATTTGACTTTATTAAGTACAAATAATTGAATAAATTGCTTGAGATGCTATTCTCATTTTGTCGCATCAAAATGGAAAAATAAAGGTATATTCCATTGAATAAAGTGTGTATTATTGTAGTTATCTAACAAGAGGCTTTTTTTTTTCCTAAATCTTGATTATCTTTTCAGCTTTTTGACCAAATAATTATGGCTTATCCACTGCAACTTGCATTTTACAGCAACCTTCTATTTCAGTAATGATAATTCTAAACTCCTATTTGGGTTTCTTTCATTTTAAAATACATTTTTTTTCTTATTTTTAACTACACATTGTTCAATAAAATAAAATTACACGTAAATTTAAAAATCTTTATTATTTTTTACTCACACATTCTCGAAAAAATACTATTTCAAAGAATAATACTTTCTTGCCAGATGAATTTACGACCTTGGATGACATCCACCAAGACGATAAATTTTTTTGACAATGTAGCAAAGTTGCATATCAAAACTCTTTTTTTTTTAATACCCAAATAGAGCTCAAATAAAACATCGTGGAAAAATGCTATATGATATATTGAGGGTTCGTTTGACAATATTTTTGCTTCTTACAGAAGAGCTTCTCAAAGAAATTATTTTACATAAACTTCCTCTAAAAACATTTTTAACCAGACAAAGTATTTCAAAAGGTTATTCAAATATGAACAAAAACAGTTTCTTATACTAGAAGTAGCTTTCGATTTTTCAACAAATTTGTCAAACAAACCCCTATCTTTTCAGCTTTTTGACCAAATAATTATGGCTTATCCATTGCAACTTGCATTTTACAGCAACCTTCTATTTCAGTAATGATAATTCTAAACTCCTATTTGGGTTTCTTTCATTTTAAAATACATTTTTTTTTCTTATTTTTAACTACACATTATTCAATAAAATAAAATTACACGTAAATTTAA